TAAGTAACCTTAATATCTATTTATAGTTTTTTTTAATTTTCTATTTGAGGGAAGGAAGAGAAACACTTTACCGTAAGAGGAATATTCTCTCTATATGATGAACACTATGTTGACTATACATTTTCTTATTAGACGATGGAACACTTTTTTCATGAAAAGGAACACCACCTTGAATATATATGTATATGTATAGTGCATTTATGAATGAACACCTGTTTAACCAATGCTTTCTTGTTCGTCTGACCTATTTTCTTAACTGACGTGTTATTGTCCATTGTCTAAACAGATAAAGACGCTCCTCGACTTCTCTTATATATACATCGTGTTTTTCCAATAAAGTCAGTCATATATTCATTCATCCACTGTGACATACATTTAACTGACGTGTTATTAAATAAATTAAAGGTAAAGTTACAATTGGAGGAACATTCGGCTAAACATTCTATTGAGATTTGTCTTTTTACTAATATAGAAAAATTCGCTCTGCTCAATTCTGTTTATATTAAATGAAATGTCTTCAACAAATTCAGAAAAATTAGTATTGTCGAAAGCTGAACTTCAAAGTTTAGTAACATCAAATGATCCAGTAATTTCATTTAAAAAACCAACAAAAAAAAGAAGCGAATGCTGGGCAAATTACTCTCAGATTTATCATGCAAATATTCCACAAGATTATATTATTTGTTTCCAATGTAAATCTGTATTGAGATGGGCAAAAGATCATGGAACCAGAGTGATGACTCATCATAATTGTTCGAAAAATAAACCTGTGGCAACGACTCCATCTCGACAAAGAACGATATCGTCTTATTGTACACAATCTTCATCATCAAAAGAATGTCCATTGATTCAAAAACGTATTACAGAAGCATGTGTCGAATATTGTGCAGTTGATGTACGCTCGTTCGAAAGTGTAGCTGGTACTGGATTTCAAAATTTAGCTAAACAATTAATATATGCTGGAGCAACTCTTGGTACATCTATAAATGTTAGTGAATTGTTACCTCATCCAAGTACCGTAAGTATTAAACTTGCATTTCATATAGGATTCAATTACAATATTAAATATCTTTTTTTTCAATAGATCAGTCGTAATGTTGAACATGTTTATTTAAATTTGAAGAAACAACTTATTTCTTTATGTGTACCATTAGAATGTTTTTGCATCACGTGTGATTTTTGGACAGCAAAAATAACTGGTAAACTTATTGTGTTCTTTCGAATAAAATTAAATGCATCACATTTATTCTCTGTTATGTTGAAGGAATTCATTATGGTGGTATTAGTCTTCATTATATTGACGAACAATCTCAACTTCGTGTATTTACATTATCGTGTCAAGCATATGATTTTGAAACGCAACATGCGATTAATTTACGTTCATTTGTTAATAAAGTTTTACAATAATATGGTCTTTATTTAAATGATGATGTATTTATCGTGACTGATAATGAAAATAAAATGAAGTGCACTTTTAAAGATGATTGCAAACGTATTGGATGTAGTACACATTACTTGAATAAGATACTTCAACTTGCATTCACCAATAATAATGCAAATTGCAATTCTGCTCAATCATTATTCAAATTAGTTCGAGCTATTATTACTAATATTCGTCAATCTCATAAGCAATCTCTTTTATCAATATGTCTAGTAAATTATTCGGATACACGCTTTAGTGGAATATATTTGATGTTTAATTCATTTATGAAAGTTTATTATGAATTACCACAAATCCTCAGTGATGAACAAAAGAAAAATTATTTGAAAGTTGATCGTGATAGTTTGGAATCATTATGTATATATCTGAAAAAATTTTTTGATGTTATTGAAAAATTAAGTTGTGAAAAAACACCCACCATTCATCTTGTTATTCCTTATAAACAATTGTTAATTAATCTATCAGTTATTAATGATAATGATGATCAATTAATAATACCTTTGAAGAAATACATTGCCAAAGAATTACCTGATTATTGGGTTGTGAATGATGTTCATTTTATTGCAACAATGTTGCACCCAAATTTGAAAAGTTTTAATCATACACCACATCAAAGGTATCATGCGGAAGCATTATTAAAATCAGAATTTGACAAATATCAGGAACTTCAACAACAACCATCATCATCAAATAATAACAATAAAAGACAACAAATCCAACAGCACAAAAATACACAATTAGCATCATCGTTAGATGATATATTTGATTCACCAACATCATCTGATGAATTACAAGATGAAAAACCAACAAAAACAGAATTTGACAGATACATTAAAGATAACACCAAAATTGATAAAGATATGAATATATTAATTTATTGGAAGAACAATAAATCGTCATATCCCACATTAGCTAAAATAGCTCATCGTATTTTATCGATACCGGCTACTAATACATCAGTCGAGAGACTCTTTTCAGACAGTGGAAACACAATAACAAATCGTCGTACACGTTTACAAACAAACAAAGTAAATCAATTATTATTTATATGTCGAAATTTATCGGTATTAAGAGAATTATTTCCACCATCAATTGAACAAATAAAAAAACGAAAAAATAGTAACACATCAACTACACCAATGAAAAAACGAAAGTATTCAACAGAAGATTATGATAATGATTCATCACAAGAAGATGATAATAACGAGTTATCACAAGAAGATGAAAATAATGATGTATCGCAAGATGATCTTGGTAATGTCATTTTCGAAGTCGATGATGAAAAAGAAAATAATATTTGTGATGATTAAATTATGATGTGATTAAGAATAAATCAATAGTCTATTTTTTGTTGATACACATTTGTTATTTTTTTGTTAATTGTATATGAATAAGAAAAGTTATTGAAAATAAACAGTTATCAGATAGAAATATTTTTATATGTATTGAAATAAGATAAAAAGAATTTTGGGAACGTCAATTTTTAATTCTGTTCCCATTCCCATGTTCCCATTCCCTAAGTCTAAATGGAAATTCCCATTCCCATGTTCCCATTCCCTAAGTCTAAATGGGAATTCCCATTCCCATTCCCATGGGCATGGGAATGGGAAAATTAGGGAAAAAAGTCGTTCCCGCAGGACACTACCACACCCACACCTACCCACACCCACCCCACACCCACACCCACACCCACACCCACACCCACACCCACACACCCACACTCACACCCACACCCACACACCCACACTCACACCCACACCCACACCCATACCCACACCCACACCCCATCCATATCCGCACCCACACCCACTCACATCCACACCCTACATAATTGAATATCGTCGTTGTAACGGATCATGGCCATTGTGCTTCACCTATCTTATGTTCTCTCTTCCTTCGTATTGTGACCTGTGCACCTAGCACTAACCTTCTGTCTCTATCTTTGTTCTTTCACATGTGACCGCTCCTTCTAATATATAAGGCGTGTTCAATAGAAGGAAAGGGACAGTTGTGAGAGTGCAGATGACACAAGACACCATCGATCCGAAAGGCATAGGCAGTCACTCTCATAATTCATCACAGTCGTTTTAGTATATTTCATCAACACTCGACAGATCTTAGAAAGGATGAATAATTATCATTTTTTATTTAATTACTTTCTTTTGAAAAAGTGCATCTTGACAACTATATAGTTGAAATAAAGTGACTCTTTTCGAAAATAGTGATTTATGTAACTGTGTAAAATCAATTTAGAAAAAACGGTTTACAAAAAAGCTTAGTCTACTGATTCTTTTATGTTATCCAGTGTATATCGTACATGACATAATAGAATATATTGATGTTTACGTACTATAATGTGCATTAAGCCATGATATAACTGTTTTACTTGAACTTTTTCTTCGTCCACACATCGACAAAAGTCGATGTTGATCGTTGTGATAGCTAATGAATCGACTAATTTTAGGCTGATTAAATAGTTTTTCTATGGAATTCGTTTTTATACCTGCATATGTGCGAACAGAAACTAAAATTTCTCTCTTTACCGACACTCCTTCATTTGTAAAACGAAATCGAAGTGCAGCTTCATTCCATGTTTGTTCTGTTAATTTTGTTTTGGACTTTGATTCCGACCTTGTAATTGACGCCGGCAAGTAAAATGTTAGAAATTTATAGAAGTTATAACAAATGTAGTCACACATTTTGAATTTAATGTTTAGATAAAATAAAAAGGAAAGCAATAGGTTGTCGTTTTAAAAAAAAGTAAACTATTTTCTAGCTCGTAATATTATCTGTAATTCACCGTATAATTTCGCCATCGAACAGTTCACATAATCTATGGGTACGAGAGCTTTCGAATGTAATATTAAGTACTCAATAAGTGTTTCACCTATTTATATATCTTTAATATGTTATGATTAATATTCGCATGACGATAAGATACTGCTTCATTAACTAAAGTTGAAAACTAATGTTGAAAGAGTTAGACTTATATCAATACATGTTGAAAGGCAAATTCTTTTGTTTCTCACATGCAACGAAGTTTAGAAGGCTTTTTCTCACATTACCTAATGAATGACAAAGGATAGGATTTTTAAGTATTGCTTCATATTATGAAATGTGATGGTATTATTAATTTTCATAAAGCATTTTATTACAATAACAAATATAGAAAATAATTATAAGCGAGTGTGTCTGCAAGCATCTCCAATTTTCGTTACTGGTAATCGATGTAACCAAGATCAGACTAGTAGACAAACTATGGGATAAATAGATCGATACACGATGCATTGAAAAAAAACTTGAATTTTATCCTCTCTATGTTAACAAGAGAAAAGATATTTAAAATTTATCGTCAGAAAGCAAAAAACAAACAAAACAGTTTGATCTGTTACATTGAGATAAACTTCGTGAGAACGATTTTAATTGAATTTTTCATGTTATCTTCTTCACGACAAAGAGTATCAATGTGCAATAGAATTAACAAGAATATATATAAGTTGTCACACTCGTTTCTATTGTTTTTATAATCTAGTTTTTCGAAAAAAATTCAGTTTTCAATCACATATTGACATTGAGTAAAAGTGTCTGATTAATACATTTCTTTTATTTGCTATTGTAGAATACGATACTCTAAGACACGAGTTGTTCTTCGTATCTAATTTTGTTTCTTTTTTCTTCCGTAATCTACCGCAGTATATATTTTGTACTGTTGTTTTTGGGTCAATTATTCTCTCTCTGTTTGCGCTTGTTTATTTCTTTTTCTTTCCGTTCTCTATCTGTCAGTCTGACATTCCATGATTTAGTATCATATTTACACGAAGAATGGTGCAAAATTCTCAAGATGGAAAATATACTTCAACACACGTATACTGTGGAATATCCTTAATAACAAACAATACGTAAACATATTGATTTGTGGAAGTTAAAAAATAATACTATTTTCTACTAGTAAACGGTAGGCATTTAATTTATTTTGACAGTTTATCACAAAAACAAAAATATACAAGATTGAGCAAGAATCCTAATTATTATTGATATAAGCCAAAAGTTACTCTATCTCGTAATCATTTATGTCTAAATGGAGAAGTTTAATACGTTGTACTATTTTTTTTCTTACGTAGACTGTATCCATGGATCCTCATAATTTGCGTGCAATTATATTGAAATTAGAAGATACTCTTAGCGACAACGATCGAAAACGTCTGCACTTCTTTTTGGGTCCTGATGTTCCACGGCGAATCAGAGACGATCAGTCCATTAGTGGTACACTTAGTCTAATAGAATCTCTCTTCGATCAAGATAAAATCAATGAACAAGATTTCACTTTTCTAATAAATGCATTTGATGAAATTCAATGTCGAGACGCGGTGAAGTTGTTAAAAGGTAACTTTTTTTCTCATTATTCAGTCCATAACTATTTCTGTTTGACTAGAGCATATGAGACGTATGCAAGTAAGTGGACAAAATAAATCGATACAAAGTCTATCATCAATACTATTTCAAGATCAGGAAGAAGATAAACTTGCCACACAAAATGGTGTGCTATAATGTTTTACTGATAATAAAGTATTAAAATTTTACGATTCAATTTAGTGATTATTAATCAACAACACAACTGTCGAGATGATATCATGATCAATAGTAATAAAACAAATGTCAATGCAACAATTGTCACTGCTGATAAATATTCTTCACGATTGAGACAAAAACGTCTATTTAAGCTATCGACGAGGATAACGCAGTTGTTGTTATTATTTGCCGTACTGTTAAACGTTGGATTGGCAATAGCGACGGGTTATTGTATCGTGGTGATCATACACTTAAACAAAAAATTAGGAGAAACTACGGTTCGTTCTGCTCAGCAAACAGAAAACAATACATATATTGGAGAAATTCCATACATCCCCAATGAACTTGACTATTGTCGACCAATACATAGTATGTGAAATACAATGATATATTCTAGGAGTGATTGATCGAGGAACACAATTTATTTCTGCACATTGAATACACTTTATTTGAATAAGATCATAAAAATTGCTATGTATTTTTGTCGAAACAATTTATATAGTTAGAGAAGATAATGCGTTTTAAAATAAAAATAGTTGCATGCTAAATAAATATATACTTTACATTTTTACTTTAGATTCAACTGACCGGATGAAAAATGCAGTTTGGGTGGATGCCCGAGATGGTGAAATCCCACCATATGCTTTTGAAGGCGGTCAAGAACGCAATCGACGTGTTTATGTGGCGCGTATCGAATTAGTAGGCAATCAGATCCCAGGTAAACTCGTTGAAAGAAGTAAAGTAGCTGAAGCTGAATATCATGGACCTCAGTCACAACCTACTTACCAGATATTGACTAATCCAAGTTCGAAAAGAAGATTTAAATGGGTTCCAACATGTCATACTAGCGTTCCAGCATGTGCTTTACGAGCAGGCAGGGAAGGAGAGATTGATCTTTACGTAGGTCGAATTTCTACTTATTCTGACATGATTTTTGTTGGCAAATACAATGCACCTAATGGCCCACTTTATTACTTGGATCAAAGAGTAAAAAAAGAAGCAAATACAAGTGTCGAAATACTTTGTACTGTTTAAAGGTTTATTTGTCGACATCTTTTTTGTTTGATTAGCAAAATTACTTAAAAAGCTTTAATGCATGAATGTATAGTAACCATTGTATTTTTACTGAAATAAAATCAAAACATATAGAAATTAAAAGACTATACACAATTTTAAAAAAGCCTAAAAACTCAATTATTAATAGAAAATCTTCTAGTGTGTCTGTTGTTTTGTTCTTCAGAAAGAGTCGTCTTTCAATATAGAGAATGAGGCATCATCATGTATAGAGGACTTTAGATACCGACAAATTTGAATATTTTCGATGATTGACAACACCTTGAGGGCGTAAGTGTGGCTTTGAATGTGGTTTGGACCACAAAATCATCTACTCGCGATCAAACACATAAGAACACCTGAACGATTCGTACGGATTTTTTATAAATTCTTGCAAAATTTCCCAAGTTAATTTAATTTTTAATGCCTTTTTAAAATAACTATTCCTCATTGAAATTTTCTGATGTCTAACAAAATGAATTGTTCTATATTATAATAAATTTAAAACAGTTAAACAATAAAACTCTTTTCAACGAATATTTATTAATATCAGATATTTAAAAATCTTGATGGTGAAGGTGTGGGTACGGATCTTGTGGAATACTTCTACTGAAACTCATCTATACTCACTCCCTCACCCACACAACCACAAGGATATATAAATATTCAACGTCATCCTAGCTATGGTGTGTATGGAAGCAATCAATATAATTACCGAAGTAGAAATTGCAATTGTCAAAATATTTATTTTAATCGTAATTATCATTAACAATATTTTAATAATGCTTATGATAATGCGAAGTATGATATAGTAAGTCGTCCACCTAAGAGATTCTATGAAAATCGACGAACAAGTGGATCGATATTAGGTCAATAACGAAGACGTGAACCAAGGCCAATACGATTAAATGATTTTATACTACCACAATTACAGAATATTTGGCCAAATGCTCTAGATCTTCCACAAGATATGAATCTTGATAATACCGATTCTGCAGCAAATACAAGATCTACTACACCAGTAAATGCTTTATTACAACGAGCAAATTTTGCGACACAAAAAATCAAAACAAATAATACAACTTAACTAATCAATAGTAATGCTAATCAAAATGATGTAAATCAAGAAGAAACATAACAAAATAATCAGCAAACTACAGCGTTATATTGGCATCGACAACGCCAAAATCGTTAACAACAATATCGTAATATTGAAAATAATTATGATAATAATCGATATGCTGCATTAGAAGAACAGATACCTACAGATATTGAATCAAATTATAGCAAAGATATAAATCATGCTTCACAAGCAAGTAATAATAATAATAAAAACAAACAAAAAAATCAAACAAGAGAGTGTGGGTGTGTCTTTTCTCTATCTACACTCACATCTCACGCCCAGATCCACCCAAATCTTACTGAAAGTTTCAGAATCGAACTAAATAGCTAATTACTTAGGGTATACCAAAAGTTCTGATCACAGTTTTTAAAATTTAATAAAGCAATAAATATTGAATATTTTACTAAGGCAATATATAGTATAACGTCTCGTCTTTAATAATATATAG